GACAGGGCCCGCGGTTCACATGGCTTACAATTTCCAGAATGTGGGTTTAAAGCCTCTAAAATGAACCTCGACAGCTGTAAAAACCATCATCGTGTCCTGATATAAGCGTTTTCTCACAAATCCTGTCCCATGACATACTTTCTGAAAAATATTGCAAGAATTCAAAGGAACAATCCTGAGTTATTATGACTTTTGAGTAAGTTTCATGTTCGGTTTCAACCCGCCTATAATAATCTTGCCATGAAGGTAAACCAGTAGATCTATGTGTGTGATTACTGTGAAAGCAGAACAGGACTGGTATCGGTATTTCTGTCCCATGAGAGTAAGTGAGGTAGGTTTCAGACCTTTTCCAGCTTTATCACGTCGGTCTGTTGATAATTTAGTCTTGGCAGAACAAAGCGGTGGTTGATAGCATGAACAAAGCCTAGACCGTCGGGGTATGATGACACACAAACCAGGAAGGAAACATATTGAGACCACCCGATCCCAATTGCATTCTGATCTGACAACATACTTATGGGCCTGTGGATGCTGCGTTATATGACCCGGGCGTTCCACGAGTTTAAAGTTTACCTGTGGATGTGTGTTGTTTTACGCCGCAGTCCAGCTGTGTCACGGCGGGCTGTGAACAGTAACTGTTGAGTCTGGGCCAGGTAAACCACTGGTTGACAGCATGATAAACGTCCCACGAGGTACGCAATCAAATTTGATTTGCGGAACACAAAGTTCGTTTTTGTCAATAAATCTTAATTGTATATAATCTTCGCACGACTCACTTATCAAAGTTCTAGGTGCAGGGACAGTCGGTTCGGGTTTCCATGACCCCGTTTACCCGGGACCCGTGAAGATCCGGGGTAGGATCGGTCTTCAGCAACCCATGCTTGCCATAAAAGGCGACTATGCTTGTTGTAAGAGGCGACTAACGGGATCGTGTGGTCAGGCTCGCTGACTTGGTTGATGCATGTCATCGATCCCAATTGCGTGGATCGATGCTGATGATGTCAATCACTGGATTGTCTGGTCAGACTCGATTATTTACAGACCGCCGTCATATATCTGGAATATTGCTGGGTGCGGCGTTAAACAACAAACAAACCAACCAACCAACCGTTTACCCGGAATACTGCTCGATAGCATTATTCTATAATCAAAGTCATCATCATTATTATCATCATCACCGTCGAGCTATTCGTATAGTAGCATATTTCTGATTTCATCGTATGGTGCAAATTATGTGTATTTGTTGTGATTAATGTAAAATATTAATGTGGTAACTAATATACCTTTTATTGACCTTTTCACGAAAAATATAATTTGCAATAACATCGTAAGAAAAAGCTACGGACAAAAAAACCCGACAAAATCCCTTCCTTATCATAAAAAAATTCTGCTAATATCAGAGTTCATTGTACGATTCCGACTATGTCATAAGCATGTGTTTATGAATCACTATCAAATAGTGATAATACCAGATGTTCGCGACGAGGTGAGCGTGTCCTGCGCCACGTATGAATCTGCGACTCTTATCGTGCTGCTGAAACAAATCAGCCCATTAAGTGTCGAACACGTGTTGTTACAAAATCCCGACAATACACACATACTGCATACACTGGTTTGCTTTCTTTCTTGATGACACCTCTGATATGTCTGTTACACACTTGCCATAGACTTGCACAAGTTTCATAGGCAATAATTATTAATTTAAATCATAATTTCTAGATTATGTAAGTAATAAGAACAAGTTGTCCTTATCAGAGACTGGAGTACTGTCCAGATATCTAGACTTACCTATTAGGAGGATGGAATTACCACACATCCATGGACTTTTCTTTCAGTACAACCTCGGAGCAAGGCTACCTTGGCAGTACCACTTACGTTATAGCGCGTATCGTACTCCTGTTATAAGTACACATATGTTGTCATAGTAACATCAAGCTGAATACTGGTCATGTTCAAACTGCATTCTATTTAAACGCACGACATAATTTATTTTACAAATAAAATCAACATAATTTCCACAATCAAAAGAAATCTCTGAATTGAGTCTTGAAGATAGTTAAAATCACGAAGCATGCATCTTTAACACACTAACAATAAAGGCGGGGAAATAATCATCAGAAAATATCATCATAAGAAATCTCTGCCAAAAGCAGAGGCCATTGGTCCATTCCGACTATATCATGAGCATGTGTTTATGAATCACCATCAAACAGGGATGATACCAGATGTTTGCGATGAGGTGAGCGTATCCTGCCCTACCGGTGGCAACCGTTACAAACACATGCAAAGGCAAGTTAAATATTCACCACACATACACGGGAACATGAAGTTGAAGTCAAAATAGTGAACCGCTGCTAAATATACTTGTTAAATGTTTCAGATGTAGCCGTCAACAATAAACTAGTCTGTAGGAACAAAGGAATTGAAATGATCGAGACGTAATCTGCCCAGTGCAGATGGTCACACAACACACATGACGTTAGGAGGAGCTAACACCAGTATATATCCCTGGCAAGTAACATAACCCATGGCCAAGTACGTCTGTAATCAATATCAATGTAATTCATGTAGGTATTGGCATATGCAATAATGTGGAGGAATATTGTACATATGCGTCGTTTTCCGTCTATTTCACACCCAGTTTCCACAGGAGCATGTGTGTGCCAGCCATTCATGGCTTGTCTGGAATGATTTATTGCCATACTCAATGACCACATATGTGACACTGTTTAGAAATAAATGTACTGAATCCAGTGTGGAAAGTTTTGTATCCCATTTCAGACAAGAAATTCGTTAAAGTTTTGTTTGTTGTTTAACGCCGCATTCAGCAATATACCAGCCAAATAGCGGCGGTCTGTAAATAATCGCGTCTGGACCAGACAATCCAGTGATTGATATCAATGAGCATCGATCTACGCAATTGGGATACAATGACATGCATCAACCAAGTAAGCGAGCTTGACCACCCGATCCCGTTAGTCGCCTTTTACGACAAACATAGTAACCTGTAGTAACGTGGTATCCTCTGTACATCCTCATCCGTCGTTAGTCACCTACGTGGTGTCATGTGTACATCCTTATCCCTTGTTAGTCACCTACGCGGCATCCTCTGTACATCCTAGTCTGTCGTAAGTCACTTTTGTGGTGTCAAGTGTGCATCCTTATCCGTCGTTAGTTACCTACGTTGTGTCCTGTTTACATCCTTATCCGTCGTGAGTCACCTCCGTGGTGTCCTGTGTACATCCTTATTCGTCGTTAGTAACCTACGTGAGGTCCTCTGTTCATCCTTATCTGTCTTGAGTAACCTCCGTGGTGTCATGTGTACATCCTTATCCGTCGTTAGTAACCTACTTGAGGTCCTCTGTACATCCTTATCCGTCGTTAGTCACCTCCGTGGTGTCATGTGTACATCCTTATCCATCGTTAGTAACCTACGTGGGGTCCTCTGTACATCCTTATCTGTCTTTAGTCACCTCCGTGGTGTCATGTGTACATCCTTATCTGTAATCAGTAACCTACTTGAGGTCCTCTGTACATCCTTATCCGTCGTTAGTAACCTTCTTGAGGTCCTCTGTACATCCTTATCCGTCGTTAGTAACCTATGTGGTGTCCTCTGTACATCCTTATCCGTCGTTAGTCACCTCCGTGGTGTCATGTGTACATCCTTATCCGTCGTTAGTAACCTACGTGAGGTCCTCTGTACATCCCTATCTGTCTTACGTAACCTCCATGGTGCCCTGTGTACATCCTTATCCGTCGTTAGCAACCTATGTGGTGTCCTCTGTACATCCTTATCCGTCGTTAGTCACCTCCGTGGTGTCATGTGTACATCCTTATCCGTCGTTAGTAACCTACGTGAGGTCCTCTGTACATCCTTATCTGTCTTTAGTAACCTATGTGGTGTCATGTGTACATCCTTATCCGTCGTTAGTAACCTATTTGGTGTCCTCTGTACATCCTTATCCGTCGTTAGTCACCTACGTGGTGTCATGTGTACATCCTTATCCGTCGTTAGTAACCTACGTGAGGTCCTCTGTACATCCTTATCTGTCTTTAGTAACCTATGTGGTGTCCTCTGTACATCCTTATCCGTCGTTAGTAACCTACGTGAGGTCCTCTGTACATCCTTATCCGTCGTTAGTAACCTATGTGGTGTCCTCTGTACATCCTTATCCGTCGTTAGTAACCTACGTGATGTCCTCTGTACATCCTTATCTGTCTTTAGTAACCTCCGTGGTGTCATGTGTACATCCTTATCTGTAATCAGTAACCTACTTGAGGTACTTTGTACATCCTTATCTGTCTTAAGTAACCTCCGTGGTGTCATGTGTACATCCTTATCTGTAATTAGTAACCTACTTGAGGTCCTCTGTACATCCTTATCCGTCGTTAGTCATCTCCATGGTGTCATGTGTACATCCTTATCCGTCGTTAGTCACCTCAGTGGTGTCATGTGTACATCCTTATCCGTTGTTAGTAACCTTCTTGAGGTCCTCTGTACATCCTTATCCGTCGTTCGGTAGACACCTCTGTGGTGTCATGTGTACATCCTTAACTGTCTTTCTCCATTTACGTCCTTGTCTGACGTTCGTCACTGACGGTTTGTCCTGTGTACATCCGTCGTTTGTAACTTAGATCTGTGTATATCATTATCTGTCGTTCATAGTGTCCTGTCACGTGTCACTATCTTCATAGGCACATAATCTAAGCCTTTGTTTGAAGTTCATTGTCGTAAAAACAAGTATCTGTCAAAGTTGTAAATTGGATAATCTAGAAAGCATTTCTGAAGAGCAATTGTCACATTTCTCTTAGTCATTGATTTGCCACTAAGGCATCAAACATGAGACTGCGGTTTACATGGAGAAAACGTATGACCTCAACTCCATGATACTACAAGTGATTACTTCAGAGGGAATCAAAGCTCCTTTAAGCCCTTCCACAGACAACATAGGGAGTCATCAAGTGGGCAGGCAATTTTTGTAAATAACACAAAAGATCGATGATGACACAGATTATTTATTTAAGCTTATTTCATAGCAAACAAACATGATAACAGTACAAAGCCTGTTCCGTGACGTGGGAATTATGACAAATCAGTATCATAATTCTGATAAATTAACTTTCTGATAAAAGGCACTTTCCTTGTCTGCGGACATGTTGCCCCGACCACATCTATCTACACTTGTCAAATCTACAAGTGTTTTCTACAACGAAGATTATCTCAAAAATATATCTCCTTCAAAAAAGCACTTTGGCAAAAATTCCAAGGCACTGCCATTTCAAATCATTTTTTGGTGCTAATGTCAACTTCAACAGCTGTTTTCTGAGACATTAAGCGACAACTTAACAGCGGGAGTTTGCAGCCGCGACAAAACATCTTTTCAAAACGTCGTCTGCTTGAAGTAACCAGACTCACAAATCAGGACGCCATCTTGAAAAAGCATGAAGCGTGAACACGAGAGAAACTTAAGCCCTTTTACACTCAACAGTAGGAGCTAGAACCAGCCTAGTACCATGATCGGGCAGTTTCAGTATTGATTAACAACACGACACAACGCTCAAACGGGCCAGCCATTTAAACACATGAGTCCGTATTAATCAACACAGGACAGAAGAGAATATTTCAACGTTCAAGCAAAACGCACTCTCCAGTAAATTGATGAGGAAATACACAAACATGAAATATTGCTCTTATTGTTTTAGAGTTCAGAGGGCCAGACTGATCACTTCAAATTTCCTAATGGCAACCCCTGTACGAGACCGGCTCGGTACATTGGCGGTGATTAAGAAATTTGATGTCTCGAGTTAATCCCTAAAGATCCAAATTTGAAACGTGCAAGGTGCTTTTCCCACTACACGAGACCAGCTTATGTTCATGGGAACTACACCCTACCCTCTTTCTGTGACAAAGATATTGTCCCTCTCGGAATGCCATCCTTAGACAAAGTTTATCTTCTACACAAAAATAGCATGCATGGGAACTAAACGACATGGCTACGAATCAAAAACACAGGAATGCGAAAACAGTTGATGAAGTTGACCTAAACAGAGGAGCTCATGTACACTTGATTGGAAATACCTAATCTCATGGGAAAGTTGATAAATAACCTTTGCCTCTATAGAAGATAAATGACTGTATAGGAATCAATAATGTCATTGTTGTCGTCCCGCGACGTATCAACACGTTGGTGACTGAGTCTGGGTTAATGTGTAATGAGAAATGGAGATGTGTTATAACATTATATCAGTTGTCGATTACGATATAATGCAGCGCGTACATCTAAAAACATCCAGGTAATTAGTTGTGGCTCTTATATCAAACGGGTAAATGTATAATGTACATTCAAGTAAATAATACGATATGGGCATGACATGAGATGAATACAATGTGATTATAAAGGTAATTAACAAAATAATCAATGACCTGCAATGATTATTAACCACTGACCTGCAGGGCATTTTGACTGACCAGCAGTTTGTGTATAAAACATGACAGGTGACAAATAACCGGTACAAACAATAACAATATACCAAGTAAAATGCTAACAAAGTGAGTACCATCGTGCATTCAATGCAGTGATGCTTCGTTTGTAACTAGTAACAAATACAATCTTCCCAACAAAACCAAATCTCTACTAACAGTAGTCTTCAAAAATGCAAACTCAAGTCAGTGCACTAAATCATCGATTTTTTCACAGGGCTGTTTTTAGACGTATTGTCTCAAGTTACTCAAGTCCATCTAGACTAGCACGTAGAAGTCCAGTGCTTCAAGCACTCAGCACATTGCCTGGCCTGCAGGGGGAGCATGAAGTAAGGCTGCTCAGCAGCGCCAAATCAACACGATACTGTCCAGCAGCGACATATTCAGGGTCCATATATGTTGGCATGGCAACAAGGCCCGTCCAGCGGGATGTAACAATTATATATGGCTGACCAGCAGCGACACCTCAAATGGACAACTGTCCAAGCGGGGTGTTGTTGACATGGCAATATGCCATACACTAAATAACAGTTGTAAGTCAAGCTTACACACTTGGCCTACTGGGTTTCTTCAGATAGAGCAATGGCGCCTGAGGAAGAAAACAAAGACTATCATGAGTATTTTGTTCCTTTCACAAGTAACACAGATTATCATAAAACTTGGACATTATTATTACTATAAATGATTAAAAATAGTAAGAAGATGATCATCAAGATTATTATTGGTATTATTATAATTTAATCAAATCAAACTCCGCAATGATACTTACCATTATTAGGAGCCAGGGATGTCAGCAGTTTCTGGATTTGAAAGAAATCCTCCTCTTCGTAGGACCCACATGGTTTTGGGGTGCTGAGAGGCAGATATTCGTCCTTGACGGTCACAGACAGAGTCATCTCCAAGGGGGTAGATGCCAGCTCCTCGAGAAGCTCCTCCTCCTCTGACAATTCACATGACGTCATTGAAAAAGGAGACATACTTTGTGAAGCTGGGCTGTTGGAGCATTCAACTTTGATGACTGGGGGGCAATCCTCTTCCTTGACCAGAGCCTGCTGCTCAAAGAAGGTCCCCGCTGAGTCGACCAACATCTGGGCGTCAACATATGGACTGTTTTCCCCATTGAAGTGGTTGAAGAATTCCTCTAGCTCCGTTGCGTCGATTAGGGGAAGGTTTTTCTTGGCTTTAACAGGGCTGCTGGCAACCTTTTTCGACACTTCATGACATGGAAGGTTGACCTTGGCATCTTCCGGACACTGTAGGTTAGGTTTAGAAACGTCAAAATCCCAAAAGAAAGACTCAACTTCAAATGGATCGATGACTGGAAGTTCTTTCCTCTTTTTGGTTGGTGTTGGGGGAAGAGGTTCAGATTTTATCTTGGGCCCGACGCAGTTGGCAAGTTGTTTAAGTTCCTCAATGATAGTCTTGGGACACGGCCGTGTTGACTTAGATGGAGTGATTACATCAACCTTGAAGACCTTGCTGTTTGGATCGGGCGAGGAGGCTGGGGATGGATCTGGTGTCAGATACGATTCTGGCAGGGCACTGACATCAGGTACAACTTGTTCCTGTAGCATAGAGCCTGGGCTGAGTGAACTTGGTTCCATCAAGATGTTTTTCTTTTGCTGGAGAGCCACTGCAGAGAAAACGCTGTTGCTCTGAGACATAACCTGTGTATGCTCAGCCCATCCGCCCTGAGCGACAGAGAGTGCTGGGAAGGAATCACGGAAGTTATCCAAGTTGGGAATCATGAAACTACTTGAACCGAAATCGAAACCTTGACCAGAGAGTTTGTCATCATTCCCACTAGGAGAGAGTCTTGGAACCTTAGCTGCTGGTTTGCAGGGTCCCTTGATCTTTCTCTTCAGCATCTCCTTCAATCGCTCAGTCTGACCAGATCCACCGTTTTTCAGCTGATCACCTCGCCTCAGTCTTGGGTCGATGTAAGGCATAAAAGGTCCAGTCTGGCAGCCACTCTGAGAAGGGTAAACAGGTCCAGCCTGTGTTGCCCTCATTCTGGTTGTAGCCTGGAAGCCAGAACTGGGTTGCAGCCACCTGGTGTCCTGTTCTTGAACAATAGTGGGACAAGGCACTGTTTGTTGCCAGGGTTCACCGCGTGGGGGGTAGAACTGGAACATCTGACTCTGCAGTTTGAATTGGTACGCCTCTTGCTCACTGAAATGGAATCATAGAAAATCATAAAAGACTGGCATACTTGGCATATGATGTTCAACTCACAAAACCTTCTAGCTTAACAAGATACATTATTGTTGAAGCAATGCCAATCAACTGAACTAATCAACAGCTAATCATATGTACATATCTGGTAGTAAACTATCATTAATAACCCGTGAGGCCACCAGCTTGAGGTGTAATTGAGGTCTATTAGAAAGATAACTGTACGCACCTGATAACCTGGTTGACGCACGCGATGACTGGGTCATCGCTGTTGGAAACAGATGCCTGCTTAATATGCATGACAACGTTCACCCAGAAGATGGAATTATCTGCCCTGATCATTCTCACAATCATCATGCATCCCATCTCGTGATTGGAGCGGATCACTGAAAAAAAGAATGCAAAATGATAATTTTCTTTCTAATTTCCGTATCGTGTAAATAACAGTAACCGAATGAGCCATAGTTTGATTCGCTTGATCGTATTTATAGAAATAGAAACAGCTGGAAAACGGAGCACAGTGCAATGCTGGGTCCACTTACACTGCACATGTTTATCTCTGGCCTCCTGCAGGTCCTCGGGATGAAGAAGACTGTACCAAGATCGACGGAACAGTTCGCCATTGCTGTAGCCAAGATGGTACTCGGCCCTGAAAGCACAAGATATATATTTACTAGAGCGCTACAGGAGTCGTGCTGCGTTTGTTGTTTGTTTAACACCGCATTCAGCAATATTCCCGCTACATGACGGCGGTCAATAAATAATCGATACAGTTATTGACTGGATATGTTTAGATCATTCAAATAGATGAAGAATCAAGTATGTAATTAATGGAGTGAGTGAGTGAGTATGGTTTTACGCCGCTTTTAGCAATATTCCAGCAATATCACGGCAGGGGACACCAGAAATGGGCTTCACACATTGTACCCATGTCGGGAATCGAACCCGGGTCTTCGGCGTGACGAGCGAACGCTTTAACCACTAGGCTACCCGACCGCCCTAATTAATGGAACTTGTGATCACGGATTAGTAATTCTTCAAGACGACGCATGAGTCCAACCTAGATTATCAGACGCATGACGACATAGTTCATGTAGGCTGTAGAAATTGAATTATCAACAACGCCTGGCACGTCTGAATGTGAACTTATGTATCCGTGTCACAGAACCTGAACCTGCGAGCTGTCACATGAACAACGAAAATCGATCATTAGACTGATTGTCAGCTAGGGCAAGTCGACAATGGAGTTCCGTGTGGAACACTTACGTGTGTGAAACTTCCAAGAAGCTGAGATCGAGCTGATGGACTGTCTTGAAGACCATTGTGTTGTTTTGGATAAGATTTTCTTTTAAGTCGGGAGTGATGAGTGGTGTGCATGTCCCCATGAATACCACCTGTTGCTCACTGCTAGACTCCGGGCCGGGGTGGGATACAAAATGACCCTTCACATACATCACCTGGAAATGGAAAAATAGCAACTTTCAGGTCATGGTTGGTAAAAGAAGAAAAAAATGTAGTCATCATTTAAATCCAAAATATAACTGATATAACTCTTTCTATGAAATATTTGGTTGGTAAATTTGTGTGTATGTGTTGTGGAACAATTATTTATCAACTAAACATATTGGTGTGTTTGCTTTATTTCTGCATCAACACATCACCATCAAGCGTTCTGAGTAGACAGGCAGTATTTCATCAACGAATTTTTTTCACAGACAACACTAACACGTTACACATGCACAACTGCTCATGTGACCGCTATTACATAAACACTCCCTTCTCTGCTGAGCGGTTAAACAAGAAGCCCTCGTCTCAAGTTGACATCATATCGTTTATATAGAGATGCTTAGTTATCGCTTCTCGGAGGATAAAGTTACTCCTGGGGCCATGGCTGCATAAAAGCCAGCATCTTGACACATATAAAATCCATCAATCCAAACTATAAAGTGGGGAGAAGTAAAGTCCCGTCTTAGTTTAGTTATACTCGATCACTCTGACAAGGGCGATATAGATAGCACGCCTAAGGCTAAGGGACCAGCTCCATCTAACCACGACGGAACAGGCTGTTACCAAGCTGACATGGATTGGATCCCCACGTTTTCAGTGTCAGCATTATATATGTAACAGTTAACCTACTGTATGCGGGATCGCTGATAATAACATGTGCACACATTGATATGTACTAAGTAAATATAGTGGAGCAACGCCTATAACTTATATATTACTTCACAGAATCAACAAAAGATATTGCCCAGAGGCACATATCAATGTATTTATTCATTTTGATTTTATACGGTGTGCAATACACTGTCGTCTATCTTTTTAAGTTTTACTTTATTTATTTAGTTTACCCTGTATGACCCATCCAGGTGATGGCTGACTAAGTGTTGCTTGTCAACACTATTTCCTTTTCTACATCGTAGTGTTGTGAAGCGATTGCTCATACGAGATATGACACATAAAATATTGCTTCCGCCAGGAAAGCAGCGCTGCGCTTGACAATGGCTTAAATTGTTTCCCTCTTCGAAGAATGGCCGTAAATCATAGTCTCGATGTCAAGTAGAGCATGACATGGCAGTATTATGTCCCCTTAAACTAAAATTCATATTTAGATTTCAAATGACGCAGGTACTTTGAATAAATATAACGTTTTTATATCGTATGTGTGTCACAAGCGACTTAGTGCGTCAGTTTAGAAAAATGGGCGATGATTCTCCCTTGTGCCAGACTATCAAGAAGTTGTTCGTTGTTATGACGTCAGTGTAGCCATGGTAACATACCGAGTTTCATTTATCACCGACACTTAGGTCAAACTTTAGTACAGACATATACATTTAGCAATTATATATGCGAAATCCAAGAGGCTTTATGTTTTGTAGACTTCCAAATGGGTAGACAATTTCATGAGAAACTGTCATAAGAAAATTTTCACTTGAAACTCAAACGAAAAACAAGTATATATCAAGTTGCGCTGGTTTCGAGACAAACGATATTGAACATACAATTAAAAAGAAAAAGACAACTCGCATAATTTTACCATAAACTGAATAAAAGTACACAATTAGAGCGTATTAACCAAACTATGAAACAGAAATGTTATTCAGCAACAAGTTACACATTTCAGTGTTTCTATAACCCACCATAATTAAAAGACATACTGCTATAAAGGGTGAAATAAAGAGAGCCCAAGTAACATACATGTATCGAGTTACAAGTTCTGAGGTTTCCCTGACTCTACATGTAAATGCCCGTGTAAATAATAAAGTATTGTACCGTATTCGACGTAAGAAGCGCCCCGCTGATAAGCGCCCACGGCGATATTTGCTAATATATTGGCCAGTAAACAATCCCAATTAGCATCTCTTCCAATTGGTCAACGTACACAACACATATTTATTCGTGTATAATACGCACTCGTGTGTTATATGCACCCCATATCATGGGCAATTAAATTCTTGAAAAATATATCTGTCGTGTCTAATACGCACAGACTTTTCTTTTGTATTATTTCAGGCTGTCAGCATAAACCACGAAATTTACGATCTTTTAACTCTTTTTTCACCACAATTTTATTTAAATAAGAGCCCACTATTTCTTATTTTGAGAGCGCCCTAGGCGCTTGTTATGTCGAATACGGTATGTATTTTTCGGGATGGTGAGTTTCTTTCGCATGACTCCTTATTTCCTTCTAATATAACTGTAGCCTATTGTCAATGGAAACTGGAGTAATTACGCTGCCACATTTATTACGGCAGTGAATAATATGTATGACTTGTATATGAGATGTTGATGAAGGCAGGTGTCAGTATCCCCTGTTGTGAACTACGTCAAAAGGCTGTGAGTGTGTCTATAGTCGTCTTCAGTCCGTCATACTGATCGACATGTCAGGGCTGTCGTTATGTATTGCAGTGCGCGACCCCTTTCTTCTTCTCACTTACTTGTAATCAATGCATCAATGTCATTAGACTGACACAAATTATGATAGATATTGTCTTACAGCATTAACAGAAAGCCTAGTCCCATATCAAACAGAGGCTCACTTTGATTGTCAGTTTAATAGGTGAAGTCGTGACTCGTCTTGTTTAAAACAAAATATAAGTATTATTCATGTGATTTAATTTATCAGAATAAATTGATCGAGCTGAAGTATTATTTCATAATACGTTTCCTGTGCAGTTTGAGCGTTTCTTACACTGAACTTTCACATGACCTTTGTTTCGGATTCCTAAGTAAACACGGTGGTGTGGGGAAAATGTGGCCTGTTGCGGAATGTTATCCTACCGAAAAGCAAATACCATGAAATCTGACACGTTGAATTCCGCATGAGAGACTTTAAAATATGTTGCTCCCAATTATTCTCGTTACTGGAGTAGAACGAAATTCTGCTTCACGTTTCAACACATAAACATCCATTTCTCATGAGCGGCAAGCCATACATGCAAGCTAGAGATGTCCAGCATTCACAAGCCGGATTCATTCAGGTCGATTTCGTCGATCTGAGTAACCTATCTCATGCAATGTATTTGTGTAAGTACATTAGATTTACTAACTGCAAACCCAAAAGTCTAAACTTTACTGAATGAAGTATCATAACCTTCGAACCACCCTTCACACACACACACACACGCGCGCACGCACACACACACACACACACACACACACACACACACACACACACACACGCACGCACGCACGCACGCACACACACACACACACACACACCATGCTATTGCCGAAACAGCCTCAAAGAAACTTCACTCTCACACTAAACATTTTCCTCGTTTCGTGGACATCGATCCCTAAGCAACACGGCTCCCCATCCAAAAATACAGGCTGTGAGCTTTGTAGTTCACCTATTTAACATTTCTATTGTCACCGAGAAAATGAGACATTTTTTCAAGTAAAACAAGATTCACCCAAGAGAAAATATATATGAACTATCGGAAATAGAACCAACAATACGATTCCTGACTCTCACATATATGAATCTAATATTAGATCTATTACGATATATTAGAAACAAAGACACTCCACGAAGTTCATTCAATATGCTCTCCAAAAGAAGGGACTAAAGCTCACCTTCACATCCCCGAATCCAGCCTGGCGTTTAAGACTCCTGGACATATTCATGCGACAGAAGAAGGCCACGTCCCGCGTGTCCCTCTCGCCGTCTGTCCCTGCCTGTAGAAGTTGGGCCTGTACCGTCCCGTGGTCACGCTTGTCCACAATATCATACAAACTGTCCCCCTGGGTCTTCATATCAACCTGGAAGGTAAAAGTGGTTCAACTGATTCATACTGACTAAGGTAAATATCACAATCTTTTGTTAAACATAACTGTTTACATACAGGTTATTTCTTGATGTTTGGTTGTTGTTTTCTTAATCATCTCTTTCCCTGACTTTAATTTTGAAAAACTGTACTTTTTGATAATATAGATCAATGTGACTTATATATCGTACGAGGATCACTAATACTGACAACGTATGTTTTCAGTAACTATCGGTAACTGTACTAATTTGATACTCACCATTGAATGACCCAGATAGTCTGTCACATTTTCTGAGATATAAATCAGTTTTCCTTCCCTGGTTGCGATCAACAAAAAGCCAGTCAGAGCCTGGAAGGAAATAAGTATTTTGAAAATATTTTCCTTGTTTCTGTAGTGATCCCTATAATGTGTATGCTGTATGCTGTGACATTATAAACACAAGACAAAAATCTAAATATAAATGCATCCATATGATTTATTACTGTGAACACAACATTTAGGTATAAGCTGTAAAATAGTGCAGGCAGTTTTTATGTCCGCCTTTTAAGTGCACATGTGCATTTGATAAAGCCAGCTCCAACATATATTTGAGTCAGAGTTTGGTATATATAGATACTTTACATCACCAACCGAATTTCACGTACAATGCCTAACACCAAGCAAGGTTTCCTTTCTCTGACTACAATGCTTGTGTTAATGGAAAGCAGAGGGGGCGTTTTCAAAATACAGCTCTACCTCAGCAACAGGGACACGTTGTGTGCAGGTTTTATCGCATTAAACTTCGACCTCCTAGATTGGTGGGTTTATCTAGCTACGTGGAAAAGGTCATATACAATTGCTTGCATATGTCGGTTCGCTGTTGGCCTATCTTTAAAGCAAAGAGATTATGGTCCCACTTTTATGAGATTCCCTACATGTGTTTGTTGTTATCTACTGGTCCTTGTTGAGTTCTGGAGCGTACGGGATCCACATTTTGGTAACTCACTGATGTGATGACATTTGACTTTTCCACTCCCCAAATAAGGTCATCCCTAGCCAGCAACAATGTTTGCCCTTGCTATCAGTATGACACTACTGACACAACGGGGTCGATTAATATTATCTCGCAGTTGTTAAAAGATCAGATGTTTCAAATTTTATAACTTGATACTTCTGACAGATCTATAATAATGCAATGTTTAAATTTATGTTACATTTAATTAAAAGATACTAAAATTGCCGACTGTATTTTAAGATTTGCTTTAAGAGAAATGTCAACCAGGCCCAGGTAAAAAAGTGAGTTAAATATTATATGAAATAGAAATAATTATATTTGAGGCGTTAATATAGAATTCATATTGCATAAAACCACAATATATGTCCCAATGAGCCATAGCTAAAAGAAAATCAATATCTTTCATACGTTCGTACTGCAGGAAATCGACACTTGTAGATATCAGGCGATCTAGGTATTGATGCGTCATCGCGCCACAATGTGTATGTCGATAAATACATAAATACCCCGCGAGCTCGTCAATCGACCCTATTTTGCGTATGAAGACCAGTATCTATCTAACTAGAAAAATCAATACTTTTACCAGGAAGATATGGCTCGGTAGGGGAAATTCACAAGGTTTCCACACTTAAACATCGATAAAATTACTTCACGTAGGTAAATTAGAATGGCATTCACACAGGTGTCATACTTCAACTAAACATGAGTTCATAGTGCCGAAAACGAAATTCAAATATTCAGTTAAATTGCAGTTTTAAAAAATGCATTAAAACGTCATTTGAATTTATAATGTTATAAGTTGATTGTATAACACACTAATATTTGTTTAGATGTAAATAAGGGGAGAGTTTCCAAACTGAAATTTCAACGATTTCATTAAGCTGGTGAGTGGCAAAAAATGGTAATTAAAAGGTTATGTCGACGTGTCAGATGGCAGTAATGACGTCACGGTGTCTAAGGTCCTCCTCGTAGCCACCCCTGGCATCTGCTTTTATTGCTCACTTGTGAAAAATTCCGACGACAAGAAATTAAAACCGTGGCCGTATACCTAAGCCACTAACCTGATACTCACATGACGTCAAATATCTAAGAATAGAACATACACATCTAGTCAAAGTCAATGGACAACTTTAGCTTCAAAAAGAGATCTAAACCCACGTAACTACGCGATTAATTGATCAACATCAAATGTCCCTTCGTATTGTGATATTTAATAAGCGAATAACTCGGAAATGGATCGGGCACAGACCGACCGATTTCTGAAAGCGGGGTCTGTTGCCGCCCGCCAAACCGGTCGAGTATAAATAGCGGTATTACTAAGCGCAACCTGGGATTGTTCGGGCCATGGACTCGCAGTGAGTGGCACAGCGAACGTAAATATAAGGTACATTGGCAAGGTTGTGTGAAATCCGGGGAGATGTGGAAAACAAAGGTCAAAACTTACCTGGAAAAAATCACATGATGGAACATTGAGGTTGTCTTTTCCAGACTGGCCACTGGATCGAAATACTGAAAGATGAAAATGAGTTCTCATGAAATAACACCTTCAAACATCATAATACGATGTCCAAATCCAAAGTCCATACATATAGTCTTAATTATTACTATCATGTTGTTTTTTTCTTTCAATATAATTTCCAATCGTCGTTTATACATTACCAACACTGTCAGTTGAAATGAGTTATCAAGACATGTCCGGACAGTGTTGTACGGAAACATACGTACAGGCTTTCGCAAAAGTTAAAAGATATATATACATTTTTAACTTAAATTCGAATGAAAATAATGTCACATAAATATATTTCAAAATACTTTCGAAAATGAGTGGCACGTATGGCCATTTCGTATACGTTCTGGCTTCAAAACAAAATATTTTTGTCCACTAAACTTACATTTATCAAGAACGTTGCATTTCCTAATATAAACGCAACTCAGGGACATGATTTGTAGTTGGGACAAGCGTTGACGGGCGGACTCGGCAAGGGGCAACAGGTCTCTCATGACGGCAATCTCAGCGTTAATCTGATCCCGCCGTTGTTTTGAAGCCCCTTTGTTGGATCTAAACAAAATTTTAAAAACTATTAAACTATTTGTGATGACAATAGAGACTATCCAGATCGACTAAATCAGTGAAATATCACTCGATATGAAACAGCTCAGAACGTGGGAGTAAAACGTTTATAGCTTTTGAGCTGTTCGTTATGCCAACCTGAAAAAAAGATAAAGTTAATTTCAGGAGTGGTGCAAGTTAACCTCCTGGGATGGACAAATAGGTTGAGTTAAAAGGGTAGACTCACGTCGATAGTCAAAACAAACATCCCGTGTATATGGACAAATAGGTATCCAGCGCGTGTATCGACTATAAACCCGTGGGCGTGTGGTAGAGATGAAGGCTCCTCACTCTATACACACATTCACACAACGTAGAATCCCGCATCCCACACACCACAGCAACCAACACTTACCTATCAAGATCATAGAGAACCAGCTCTTCTACAGGACTTGGAGCCATTGTGTGTGTGTGTAAACTCTAAGACATTAAAAAATAAAAATCCTAGGAACTCGGCTTAAGACGGACCAGCCGTCTTTTCTCGCTCTACCTTCTCGTGAAGCCGGACAAGCTTTGAGCTCAGTGACATCATACCTGTCGATTTTAGTTCCTCGCTAGTCACGTGACGATTCTGATTGGCTGAGCCGTGTCGTCTGCCTGAATGGCGGACTCGCTTGCGTTAGCTGGCGAGTGGCCTTGACACGAGCAATTCCCTTTTACAGGCATCTGTGTGGCTTATAGTAAGTGTTTAGCGATGGATTCATTTCCGGGAGACAGGAACTTATAGACAACAGGCAAAATGAAAACAGTTTGTTGCTTCATCTGATGTTAGTGTAGGAGTTTAAGCTACACACTGTATATGAAACTTTCTTGTTTGTTTCCTACTATATGTTTACATGACTGAACATTGCATTCGTGGCTGAAGCTTCATGAAATATTTCAGTTTGGGCATCCTCCTTACAACATCCGAGCAGTATAATTCAGGCTTAAATTCACCACAACTATACAAACATAACCCACAAGTATATTTCGCCATCGACAAAAAAAACAAAAAAACAATTCGCCTACAATGCGTGCGGAATCAGTTTGATGTACAATTTGTCCGTAATGCTTTTCTTCTAATATGTATCAACCCACATCAACACGTGGATCATGATAAGAACTTATAAGTAGCATATGAAGACTAATAATGAAAAGTATTACAACATATGCTTCGTGTGCACCCACATGTACATGTATACCCCTTGTAAAGCGAACAACTAGTTGATATTCGTGGGGCAGGCAAATAAGAATTTTTTCCAGAAGAAAAATGGAAAAATAACCATTTTGGCTCATATTTTAACCCAAAAATGTTTTATGAATTGTTCGGCATCTCAACATAACCGCAAACTGTAAAACTGTATGTCAAGAAGCAGTGGCCTAAAAGTATTCTGTCCCGCCCCGCCCCGCCCCGGTCCCTGTGTATAGTAAACTGAATACTTTGCTACAGGAAATCGCGAAATGAGACAAAGTTGAACTTATATTTACAAATATCGCGTAATATTCATTCGGAGATCAACAAAACGACAATGTAAAATAATTGGCATTCACTTGCCATATTTATTAAAATACTTGGTTATAAATACTTCAATCCCTGTCATTGCTGATGCATTTTGGACTGTGAACAATGACGCACTTCGCGATAACTGTCATAGTCGTTTGACCCTCTCAGCGTATCAGTATAGTATTCTATGAAAGTTAAAAACACGCATCCTGGTATCATAGTAACGTTCACGCACACAACAAAGCCGAGACAAGGAAATATAAACTTCCACTCGATAGAACGACCAGTCTTATTAATCTGCCGAAACAGATTCCTTTGGGCATTAAAGGGCAAATAGTGGTGAAAATTATGTGAATGGATCGCTGAAAATTAGTGATGACACCGGGTGTTCATGAGATGGGTAATCATGTCCTGCCCTAACGGTAGCACCCGTCACTCACACAATTTGCTTGAAATAGTAAGTGTCAGTTGCCTGATGCCTGAAATAATCTCATGGACAATTACTAAAAGCAAGGATAGCACTATAAATTAGAATATGTTACATGTTTGAAATACATAAACAATTTGCTTCACGCCCTGTGATCGTTGAGTATTTATGTTTATATATATTTGGTTCATTGATATACATGTATTAGACCGTTTAAGTAAATAAGTAAGTAAGTAAGTAAAAAAATATATACATATGCTTTCTCCGATGCAGACAGAATCAGAATGGACGTACTGATACGTAAAACCGCTCTACCTTTATTTTACCTAAAACTTTACTTCACAATATGTCCATATACATGTAAGCCGGTGACACTGTTTGTTTATTTATTTATTTATTTATTTATTTATTTATTTATTTAACGCCGCACTCAGCAATATTCCAGTTATATGACGGCGGTCTGTACATAGTCTGGACCAGACCATCCAGAGACTGATACCATGAGCTTAGATCAAGTCAGCGAGCCTGAGCACCCGATGTCGTAAGTCGCCCTTTACGTGAAACATAGGTTGCTGAGACCAATTCTAACCCTGATCTTCTAAAGTCCGGTGAAACTGACAGCATATATAACAACATGGTCAATTGGTACCATTTATACAACAGTATGTCCAAGCATGTTCTATGGCTTTCCTATGCAGTCCATGAAAGCGAACTATCGTGTGTTAAGTAGATTAGATGTAGCAACTATATTCGGGCACAGACATGTATTGTTTTATCAGGACACTTACATGTCCAGTGGGATTTATGTGCCACCCTGCGAATGATACGTTTTTAAACATGACAGTAAGTGACATGGGCGTCAACTCCGTCGCCTTTCCTGTGTTGATAACACAGATTATGCCCACTGTTCAACTGTGCAAGAGCCTTTATCAGAATGCAATCAAAATAACATCCTATCTTAGACAGACATGGCGACGTGTATGTGTCTCTCATGTAACATGACTTAACAGTCAACATTATAGTCAGACTCAGTATACTGACTCCGAGCCGACCCGTCCTTGTTTTAGCCCCTTAATGCCAAGCGCCAAACATGGTAACAAGTTTTAGGGTCATCTGAGACAATGAAGGTAGCCAGCTTCAAACACATAGTTTCGGGTGGCTTAACATATCATAGGTTCTCTTGTATAAGTTCTTTGTTTTTATTCCAATATTCCAGCTATTTGTTGTATAAGTAAAGGTATGAGATCACATAAATAAATACTAGTTTTATACCATATTAGTTGGTTGGTTGGTTGGTTTGTTGTTTAACGCCGCACTCATCAATATTCCAGCTATATGACGACGGTCTGTAAATAATCGAATCTGGACCAGACAATCCAGTGATTGATATCATGAACATCGGTCCACGCAATTGGGATCGATGACATCCATCAACCAAGTCAGCGAGCCTGACCACCCGATCCCGTTAGTCGCATTTTACGACAAGCATAGTCACCTTTTACGGCAAGCATGGGTTGCTGAAGACCTATTCTACCCCGGAATCTTCACGGGTCCTACAACCATATTAAGTGACTACATATGTAGTCTTTCTCATATAGTGTGAGCTATTTTCTCATCCGCTTTAGTGCGTGTTTACATTGAGGAAATGTACGGGTAAAATTTAACCAGCATCAATGATGCATGGTAGATACTGCGAGAACGATTTTCTAATGTACACGTATTTTAGCTTCATGTCATTTCCCGTCATGCGGGGACCGTAACGTTAAAGCAAACCGATTAGTGTATGCTAAATTAAAGGACTTGCATGACAATACATAGGTAGACTAAATACGTCCCATTACTTCCTCTATCATGGAAGTATTTGATGTTGTTTTATTCTTGTAGAGTTAAAATAGCTGTCATGCATGGTGTTTTCACTATCTTGTGGTATGCATTATTGAAAGTTACGTTACTTTAAGGCTTTAAGGTCTGATAAATGTACCGGAGATGATTTATCACAAAGGAGATGTTTTTCCGGGCTTCACTCATTATTAATATCTTGAAAATTAAGTTCAAACGTACTCAACGATGCATGTGTGTGTGCATAAAACAGACGAATGTGTTCGTTTGGTTTTCGGATGATTGTCATTTGGGTATATTTGGATGTATAAACAAAAAACAAAAGTACCTTTGATCTTGTACACAACAAAGCATTTGTCATGACAGACAAAGGTAGCATGATGCGGTTTTAATTGCGGTTTTAATTTGTTCTTCCATTTCAAACTGCTCAAATAATCACAAAACACTGCCACACACGCATACATAAACGCACGCACGCACGCACGGGCGTAGCTCTTGTCATTGTGGATGATATGGCTGCAGGCATGTTTAGAACGGATATGCAGACGAAAGGGAAGATATACTTGGTTGGTTGGTTTGTTGTTTAACGCCGCACACAGCAATTATATTCCAGCCATATGACGGCGGTCTGTAAATAATTGAGTCTGGACCAGAAAATCCAGTGATTAATATCATGAGCATCGATCCACGCAATTGGGATCGATGACATGCATCAACCAAGTCAGCGAGCCTGACCACCCGATCCCGTTAGTCGACTTTTACGACAAGCATAGTCGCCTTTTACGGGAAAGATATGCAACACACATCAGACTTTCTGTAATTAAATATGATACAAGACCGACAAAAGTAACCCCTAGCTGAGTTCCATGAAAGGACTATACAGATGAATCTCGATATGAAGAAATATACATACTCTGGGGTAGAATGGATAGACGAACATATAGTCTAGAGAGAGATTGGTTTTGATTTCATAAGTGGTGCAGGACTAGACAATTTAATGGAGGGTGTTCTGTTCTAGAGTTTACGATTTTAGAACCTTTAGGCGGTGTGTGTCTTGCTGGGTGGCGACACAGGGCTGCTGAGAGGGCAGCAACTGACCTTATCGCTGTGAGCAAGTTCGCTCCTTTTTCACTGTGTCACAATGTTTGCAAGGAGGCAGAATCTAGGACACGTAAACTGAAGGCCACTAATGTATAGCAGATGTTTTCTTGTTGGCTACTTTTGAAATATCAAGAATAACTAGATTGGTTAAGTGAAATTTTGCTTCCTTGCGGAATCGGTGTTATGGCTGTATTTGATAAGAAATAGTAAATTCTAACGAGCGGAAATGTGAATTTAGTACTTGAACACATTTCAAAAATCATTTGATGTAGAATGAAAAATTGTGAAAATTACGTACTGCATAGAAAATGCATATTTGAACGGGTTATATATTTATAAAAAGCATGAACATTTTTTAAAATATATTGCCAGAAGAGTTCGCAAAGAAGACAAGCATAACAAAACAAAATACAACACGTAAAACAACTTAAATTTTAACTACTATGAATATAAGAAGTGAAGCGCCTATAATCTTTTTTTCACAGTTGTTTCATTTATGAATGCATGTAGGTCTAGTTTGGAGTATAGATACATATATCTATGCTTAACCCTTGATTAGAGCACTTGTTCTTTTGATAAATAGTTTTGCAATAAAATCAGGGCGTATCAATGTCTCTATAAGACAACTAGATTAAGCATTACTGACCAGAACAACGGTTTTCGGTCTAACAGCAAC